AACATTTTGGCATGAGATTTTATTTTTATGCTAATAATGGTTTTACATAATATTGATATTTTAATAGTTTAAAAAGTATTTATTTTATTTATTATTTTTAAGAGGTTTTTACTATAGGGCATGTGCACTCGCCAGAAAGCAGAGAGAGACAGAGAGACAGAAAGCGAGAAATCACCCCCCAGGGGGGATGGCCATGCTGCAGTCCTTTCTCCATTCTCCTCTCGAGATCTTGGGCGTGCGTGAGTTTAAGCCACTGTGTCTTAAACCGCGGTTGACTACAGGGGAGACCAGCGACATAGCCATTACGCCAGCTGCTGGTCTCTATTTTTTATTATTATTAATTATTATTATTTTTTAAAAAAACTTTTTTCTGTGGGGTACACTTAGCAGAGAGACAGAGAGACAGAAAGAGAGAGAGGGAACATGAGAAAGCAACCCACAGGGAAGGATGGCCAGACTGCAGTCTCCTCTCCTCCATTCTCCTCTCATAATTTGGGCACATACATATAGGCACCCAGCATATTTTTCAAGCCTCCAGGTCCAGGATTTGAACCATACAGACAGCTATGGATCCAGCTGCCTTTACCTTCACACCACTGGCTGGGCCTAAAAATAGTTTGTAGGAACCAGGTGGTGGTACAATGGTAACATAACTAGACCCACACAGGAAGCTCCTGGGTTCCTCCTAAAAACAGTTTTTAGGAACCAGGTGGTGGTACAATGGTAACAACTAGACCCACACAGGAAGCTCCTGGGTTCCTTTCCAGGGACCTCCTTGAGTGTCCTAGTTCACATGCACATGCCATGATCCATGATGGCTAAGGCTGTGGGCGGATCATGGCATGAATACCTTGCTGGGGGTGCCTTTCCTTCTTACTCTCTGTCTCATGGAAGAAACAAGTAAACTTAAGAAAAAAAATTTTAAATTAAGTTTTTAAGTGAAAATAGAAAGCAAATCACCTCTATGCCTACTAACCAAGGAGAGTTACTATTCTCATTTTTCATGTTTCCTTTTGCCTATGTGACAGAGAACTTTAGGGCTGAAACACACTTTATTAATCAAATGGTCTAACTTCTTCATTCTCAAATGAGGAAATTAAAACCCAGAGAGCAGAGACCAGCAGATGGCGAAACGGCTATGTCACTGGATCCCACATAGTTGACTGCGTTTCGAGCCTGGAAGCGGTGGCTTAAACTCACACTGGGCGTGTGTGTGTGCGTGCCCAAGATCCTCAGAGGAGAATGGAGGAGAAGAAATTGCGGCGTGGCCATCCCTCCAGGGAGTGGTTTCTTGTCTCTCTGTCTCTTTCTGTCTTTCTGGCAAGTGTATGAACCCTACAGCAAAATCTCTCTCTCAAAAAAAAAAAAAAACCCAGAGAGCAGTGAGGTTAGCTCAGGATCACATCTGATTTTCTTCACTAAAAAGCAGTTTTAATGCTAAATTAATTTTATAAAAAATTGTTGGTTAGACATGAGCCTACTTGCCAGTTTCCTCCAGTGAGAAGGCAATTACAAGGGGAAAAAAAAATCTTTGTTATGTAAGACCATACTACCATTATGATAGGGAATGTTTGGAGAATGACAGCTATACAATCTGGCTGCCTTAATAAAAAGTCCCCGAAGCACAGGAATTTCTAGAAGACATGTGAATTCAAAGGCTCTGGATTTAAGGATTTGGACTGAGTATTTACATATTAGCTATGTACAGCCATTGCTAATGCTGCCTGCAGATTGTTGAATGCATCCTCCTTGATAAAAAGGCAAATTATAGGTCTTAAAGAGAGTACCTAATTGAGGCTTTCTCTCCGCTATAATTTAATGAATTGAAATAGCATGGAAAAGGAGAATACATCGTAGGGAACACGGATGGCTTTCAAAACAACTGTGTTAGAAATAGTCTGGACTCAACATTAGTGGAATTTTTAATGTGCTGTAAAAGAACAGGGCCTAAAATGCCAAGAGAAAACTCCAGTTCTGATACGACTCTGCCTCTAACCAATAATATAATCTAAGGCAGGCAAAACCTTCCATTTTTCTAGTTTTGTTGATAAAACAACCTCGGAATTTTTTACAGCTGTAAAATTCTATGATTATTTTCCCTATGAATATGAAAAGTATCTGATTTTTCAGGCTCTAAGAAAAACCCAGTGGTGAAGAGTTGGCTTTATTAATAAGGTCCTAATATCTTCCTGTTCTTGTGTGAGATCTTCCTTGGAAAGAAACCTGGGAAGCACGTTTTTGGTGCCTCGTGCCCTTTGTCTTTTGCCTTCACATCCTATCTTTATATCTCACCTTCAGATCCCATTGTCTTTTCAGTTATTTTCATCACTCTTTCTTGTCCATCCATATACTCGACACTTTAGCACTAACTAGTACCTAGACCTGAATCAAGGAACAGCTGCATTTCTAATGTTTCTCTTGAGTTCAATCAGCAAATCCTGTTAGCCCACTCTTTAAAATATCTCCAAAATATGACCACTCTCCTAGTCCATTTTCTATTACTACAACAGAATACGGGAGACTGGGTACTTTACAAAGAGAAGTTTAACTGGGCTCACAGTTCTGGAGGCTGGGAAGTCCAAAGGTACGGCTGCGGTTTCTGGTGTGGGCTTTAACGCTGCATAACATGGTGGGAAAACAGAAGGGCAAGCGGGCATGTTCAAGGGAGACCACAGAACTAGCTAAGCTTGCTAATAACAAGAACTTTCTCCTAATCCATACAAGAAGGCTCTACATTCAGGCCCAATCACTTCTTAAAGGCTCCACCTCCTAATACTGTTGAGTGGGGACTAAGTTTTAGCATGAATCTTGGCAGGGATATTCAAACCATAGCAACCACTAATCAGCATCTCCCCTGCTGTTACCTGCCTCCCTGCCTCCAATCCAAGTCAGCAGTAACTTCTGACAGATCTCTCTGCTTTGGCCCTTATCACCTCAATATAATATCAATGAGATCCTATTACAACATTATGTCAGATTAGGTCACTCCTCTGCTCAAAGTGAAATTCCCTACAAAGGCCTACAAAGCTCCAAGTGCCCCAGCCATTGTTGCCACTCTAACTTCATTTTCTGCTGCTCTGCCCCTCTAGTCTGGCTCCACAGACCCTATCACTTTTCCTCCAAGCTGCCATGAGCATGCTCACTTGCAGTGACTTTGCACTTGATGTTCCTCCTGCCTGGAATACTCTTCCTGCATATAGCTTCAAAGACAATTTCCTTGCTTTGTCACTCGACTCCAATATCACCTTCCCTTGAAGTCCTTCTATCACCTTTTCTAAAACTGGGAACCCTCTCTTATTTTCACCATACCACTTACTGCTAACAGTCTGTTTTGCTCAGTGTTCTTCGTTTCTCTTCCCCATAACACTAGGGATTTTTATCTGTCTCATTTATGGCTGGATCCCAAAAACCCAGAACAGTGCCTAGCAGAGTGGGTGCTCCATGATTACCTGTTATGGAATGGATTGTGGGAAACCATGTATCAAGGGAGAATAGCATCACTCAAAGATAGAGACAGTCACTAGAAAAAATATCTTGTTTACTCAAGGCGAAATGAAATTCGACCAACTTCTTAATCTTCTGTAGTAAACATTTCTGTGCCCTCTGTTAACCGTGGCATGTTTTAGATCCCAGAGAAAGTACTGCCCATTATTAAAGCCTTAATCCTGTTATCAGGGCATCAATCTCATCTCCCAAATGTTGTCCTGTACATTTGGCAGTTCTGTTAAGCTATATACAATAGAAGTTTCTATACTAGCCAGGTCCTGACTCTTTTTAATGGCTATAGGGCATTTGCACTAGCAAGAGAGAGAGAGAAAAAAAGAGAGAGAGAGAGAAAAGAACAGCTTAGTTGTGGTCATGTAACCCTCTTCTCCAGCCTGCTCTCAGGATTTTGAACACGCTGGAACTCTCACTAGATCTTCCATTCAGACCTTAACTATAGTCAGTCAAGTGGGATCCAACAGCTTTAATCACTGCCTCTGAGCTTCCAGGTCCTGGATTTTGGTGCTTCAAAGTCCTCAAACTTCTAAGATGTCAAATGTAACTCCAAAAGAAAATAATGTGGCTATAAAAACAGACTAGATAGGGCCAGCACGTGGCATGGTGGTTAAGGTGCTGGACTCCCACGTGGGGCCGTGGTTTGAGTCCTGGAGCTGGCAGCTTGCTTTCTCACTTTCCCTTTTTCTCGCACTCTCTCTCTCTGGTCAAATTAAAACACACACACACACAAAAATAAAAATAATAAAAATGAATAAATATTTTTAAAAAACAGACTGATAGTGATAGTAAACTATAATGTGCTAATATCAAATTTATTATAAATAAGCAGAAACTCCATTTTTGGTTTTTTCTTTAGCATATTGGAGAGAATCAACCTATATCTAATTATTGAGCCAATTAGTATTTTCAACAGAAGCGGTATCTATTTATAGGTGATTTGATGCGGCACTAGCTGGGGGTGTGGCCCTTCAACTCGATTCGCATTCTGTATTGTTTAGGGGCCTGAATTTACCAACCCAGGAAACTCCAGAAGGGGACGCCTCACGTCTGGGGGGACTCCCGAGGGTCGGGGGAGAAGGGGGACCTGTGGTTAGAGACGGCCCCAGGCGAGCGCGAGCCGCG